AATATTCAAAGATCTAATTACAGTGTTGAATTTGTAACCTTTTAGAATAAGTTTATTCAAAGGGTCGATAAGTTTTCCCGGATCGTATCTTAACTGACCGGCTCGGTAAGAAGAAAGTGCTATCCCGTTTGTAATAAGGTACAGCCAAACTTACAAACCAAATCTTTGTATCTATGAAAGAATTAAGTAAATGTTGTGAGATATTTGTGGTACGAAAGCCTATGTTAGATAATAATAGACTTTTAAAATAAGTTTCTTTAGTTTATTAATTGCGTGAACCCCCTGAGGGGTTCAAACCTATATATTGGTGAGTTTTGGAAGTGTTTATGGGCCATTCGATATCCTCGGAATCCAAGATTCTCGGAACATTTCGAAAATTTTCAATCATTTAAACAGGAAGTTATCTATGTCTTTGATACGGTCCCTCTATGGATAGGCTACCACGTGGCAAAGCCGCATTGTATATTTCAACAATCAAAGTTTATTTGTAGATTGGAAAGTAAAACAATAAAGACTAGGTTGCAGTCAAAAAATCATTTATATGTTAGAACCTATTTGCCTTTTGACAAAACATACGTGTTTTAATAATGCGAATGTTTATTAAATATCAAGTATAATGATAACGCAATTATATATTCCATGCTTTGAGACGGTCCCTGTACGCGTTGTGTGTGTAGTATTTAATACAGCGTGCTGTTGTGCATTGTGACAATAAACCTTGGAATAGTTTATTGATATATAATGTCCCAGAATAAACTGATTATTTTTGAACGTTTATCATTTGATATTTTGTATTTCAATCATTGCATGGGAAAATGTCGGAAAGCATGAAGAAAATTAAGAAAACGATATGTTTGTTATAAATATTGATCTTAGGTCGGAAACACAGTGGTCGGAAAGCAGAAAGATAATTAAATAAAAGGATTTTTCTGTCAAAAATATATAATTTCATTAATAGATACTACCAGACCAAGAGAATATCCAATATTAAGTTTAAACTGAGACTGAATTTATTCTTAATAGAATATAATTAAAATTGTCATATATACGTGCAATATGTCTCACAGGTTTGAACAGTCATTACATTTATAAAAAGCACATGCAACGTATGAGCACCAATGAGCAGGGATGCATACCCAAAGTTAGCTAAATATCTAAATTTTAAACGGTCGTGAATGAAAAAAAAAACTTGCATGGTTTCAATTCACAAGGATTTTAAATCCTTGCATCTCACAACTAGATGCTCTCAAGTTGAGAGCCTGTGTCGCTCACCTGATTCTACTTTGGTTTAGGAAATCATGTAAAAATAGATTAAAATCATAACAGGTACCCTTATAATGATTGAGGCCAAATTTGGTTTAATATTGTCCCCGTAATATAATCAAAAGCAGAAGACTTTTGTAAAGTTTACAGAAATTACCAATGAATTCATTGAAATTGTAGAAAATGACTTTATAAGGACAATGAAAAATCAGCTACAAAGTAACAACACTTGGTCAGCACCTAAAAAAAACATTCATACCATGTTTGGTTTCAATCCATTAAGCGGTTTTCTAGAAAAAAAATATGTGTATATATTTCCAATAGGGTCCTTTGTTAAACTAAGTCCCCCATTGGCAGGCATCTTGGTTGATGGATTTGCTACAAAGTAACAACACTTGGTCAACACCTCATAAGGAACATTTATACCATGTTTGGTTTCAATCCATTTAGTGGTTCTTCAAAAGAAGACTTTTGTATGTATTTCACATAGGGTCCTTTGTTAAAGTAAATTCCCCGCTGGCGGCCATCTTGGATGATTGATCGCCTACAAAGTTACAAGACTTGGTCAACACCTCATAAGGAACATTCATACCATGTTTTATTTCATTCTATTTAGTGGTTCTCTAAAAGAAGACATTTGTATGTATTGTCCATAGGTCCTATGTTAAACGAAGTCCCCCGCTGGCGGCCATCTTGAATGATGAATCAGCTACAAAGTAACAACACTTGGTCAGCACCTCATAAGGAATATTCATGCAAAGTTTGGTTTCATTCCGTTCAGTGGTTCCTCAAAAGAAGAATTTTGTATGTATTTCACATAGTGTCCTTTGTTAAACTAAGTTCCTCGCTGGCAGCCATCTTGGATGATTGATTGGCTACAAAGTAACAACACTTTGTCAGCACCTCATTAGAAACATTCATGCCATGCTTGGTGTCATTCCATTCAGTGGTTCTCTAGAAGAAGACATTTGTATGTATTGTCCATAGGGTCCAATGTTAAACGAAGTCCCCCGCTGGCGGCCATCTTGGATGATGGATCGGCTATAAAGTAACAACACTTGATCAGCACCTCATAAGAAACATCTATGCCATGTTTGGTTTCATTCCATTCAGTGGGTCTCTAGAAGTTCAAAATGTAAGAAGTTAACGACGACAACGACGGACGACAAGTAATGAGAAAAGCTCACTTGGCCCTTAGGACCAGGTGAGCTAAAAAACGTAATTAATATTTTACAATAATCATAACAAAATTTAATTACTATGTAAATTATTTTATACTGTTTTAGTATGAATTTATAAGTCTGCTTATATTTTGTATAGCAATATATTCATATATTGGAATGTTAGACTTTAAGAGGAGATTGATTTGATAGATAAAATGTCCATCCGTAAATACTTGACGTTAGTGTTTATTGATATTGTATTCTTAATTTTCGGAAAAAATTCATTAACAGGAATGTATGTTAATTATAAAATTTCATTATATTTGTTTGTTTGTTTTAATAGTTCAACCTGATAGCATCTAAATATTTGCACTATGGTACGATTTTTGAAAATTGTATTCATTGTGTTGACCAGCTATCCTACACGTCTTGGTTCATTCACATTATACATCACCCTGTACACACGCACACTATCGGTTTGCGTTCACACAAATTCCGGATTAAATGGCAATGAATCCGGAGTCAAAACACTTGAGGTAGGTAGTGTGACATCCGAATTCAACTATTAGATTAATATATGTGATGACGCAAATGTGTATTCTTATCCAGAGTATTAGTGCGTATGCTTTCTGTTTACAATTTCTTGCGCAAAAATACCACGTGCATGCATAAATATTAATTTCACTCGTGAATGCGAATTTTCGCTTTTCTAATCTAAATTCAGGACATGGCAGTAAGACCTTGACATGTGACTTTCACGCACGGTCATCATTACTTACGGTATTCTGACCTCTAGCTGTTTTTCTTTTTTTTTTCTTTTTTGAGTCACTGTCCTATTATAAACTTTGACATTTTCGAAATACTAAGGATTTTCTACCCGAGGAATAGATTACTTTAGATGTATTCGGCAAAATCTTTGTTTCGAAATTTTGGGTCCTGAATTCCTTTCAACTTCGTACTTTATTTGGCCTTTTTTACTTTTTATATTTGAGCGTCACTGATGATTTTTTGTAGACTTAACTCTCGTCTGGCGTATGTGTAACATTTTAATCCTGGTAACTTTTTATATCTACATATCTTTTTATATAAATTGGTTCTTTTGAGAGTATGTTCAGGTATTCATAAAACGTCTGAAAACAAGATATTCTTCAAAACCATGTTTTCCTGTAGAATATTTGGATTGATGTAAGTGAAATCAGGAAATCCTTGAAATTTGAGATGTTTTATGAGACCAAAATAAGTCTCTGTATGAGAGGTATCAATGAAGTTGGTGCGTTACTCTCAAGAAAAATATACGAACCTTCTTATAAGTTGCATGCCACAGGGTTTCACTTCACATGGAAATTGGACTTTAAATATATCTATACAACATCTAGTATGAGTACAGACAGCTTCAATAACGATTTGAGAATAATTGAAAGCATCCAGGAAACAAAATATGAAGATACGATAGATAAAATAAATGCATCCAGATTATAAAGCAAACCGAGTGCTTAAATTTATATTGCGATTGGTTTGTGCAATTTGCATTAGACATCCGGTTTGTAGAAACTTGGATTTGCAAAAGGGTTATGAAAAAATGATGTACACTCCCAAGTAATAAATAAAATATTCGAGCCTTAAAATGTATATTCAAATAGTAGCTGTATATATATATACATTTTTCTATTCACAACTATCCAACATTGCTTTCAACTGACTTGTGCAAGAATCTACACACAATTGCATATGTTTAATAAAGGTGTTTTAACATCATCATCATCTTATTCTATTCACAGTCAATTATTTCAATTCAAAAGCAAACAAAAATTCAGCAACATTTGTTTGGTGACCAGTCAGCGGTCTTGGGTTCACGTATTGCTTATCTTTTTTTTTTAAAGAAAGCAACTCGTTTTTTTTTTTAATTTTATGACAGTTTGTTGAACCTAGAACTAACATATGTTACGTATTGATTAGATACAGCTTAATAATATACACGTAAAACAAATCATATACAGTATTTAAGATAATAAATACCCAGCTATACAGATTGACTTAATATATCAGAATTATATGGTTCATTAGGCATACACGTGCCTTTCCGTTATCAGTAAACCCATACCCGTTTCACACTTAACAAGTTAATCCAATTACATGTTAATTGTACACATTTTGTTTAATGGTTTATATTTTGGTGATTTATATTGACATATTTGTACAGTGTGCAAATAAAAACTTGTTAACTGAAAATGTATAGAAAATTTATATTCGAGATTCGTTACTATTCTACCAATTACATAATATAAAAGAAATTCAAACAAACATTTATGAATAATGAAATGATAAATTTCTATTTTCTGGGTTTTATAAATGTAATTTACTTTCATCGACAATTTTTTCATAAAAACAGTATCTGGATCGTATATAGTTTTTAACTGTTTTAAGACTGTGCAATTTTATCAATACGAAACAGGAACATACAGCTGTGTGTAATGTGATTAAACATTGTGTGAGCGCTCCCCCTACTTTTTGTACCGTACAAACATGTCTGTTTCACCCATTTTGTTTAGTTCTCAATGTTTAGCTGGCACAAACCTCCTCTTTCGATGTAAACCTTCTAGTCTGTCCATTTCCTTTCCGACACAGTTTTGTAACTCGGTCCAATCAGCATGTACACCACATGGCCATCCTGTAGAATATCGACTAAATAACCATTTTTTTTTATTTGATGTTATGCAGCTGCATGCACCAACTTTAGGACCGGTATTAGGACATATGCATGGCGGAGTAATATTCAGGTTAGTTACTAAGTTGCCTCCAAAATGAGAACCTCCTGTTTTTTGAATATGGAGAAACACAAGTACATCTCTTTTTTTAAAATCTAAATGATACTTTCGCTTTCCAACTAATGCTTTTGTATAAGTTGTCCGAACAGTAATTAATTTTCCGTATTTAAAAACTATGAAAATGTAGACAAAGTAGAATGTTAAACAGGAGAAAAAACATGTATAGTACATGCAGGTTGAATTCATCTTATCATTATTACATTTACTAACCTTTACCAACCTTCCATGTGTGTGCACCAGATGGCGTACATTGTAATAGCTTAAATTTATAATCAATTCATTATATTTATGATATATCGTTAAATACGTACAGATTTATTCTCTTGTATTTGTGCATGGCCTATTGTCTATTTTTCGCATTGACAAATTATAAATTGTATCTGATATTTGCACCAAGATGTCGTTAAAATGAACTGGGATACCCTGCATTTATCGGGTTGTGGCGAAGATGAGTTCACTTTTGGCGCAAAAAGATATCGCCCCATTTATCATGCTTTTCATAACCATGTAATCAAATAGCTGAAAGACCACCCTCCTAAGTTATTGAAAACTATCATTATGTATTGTCAATAATTATCTTAGTGTAAATTAAATACACCCATTCGGGCTACATTGTAACGCTCTCAAGGTGTATCTAATACCTAAATCTTACAAGCATACTGTCATAAAATTGAATATAGATATACCACCATATATTACGCGCGTAATTTTATCATGTGTATTGGCTATTTTGCTAAAATTACAATAATTGTCGACGTTGTAGGTTGCACTTCTTTGTCTTTAAATATGGACAATTCAATTTTCCATAGGAACTCCTTTTACGACTAAAACTGTGCATCTTTCACTATGAAGTTTCGTAAAATATTATATCCTAGAATGGAAAGTTTATATGCACAACTCATTTTTTCAAAGTTCAAAACATAGGGCTGTGCGGCATATTTTCAATATTTATATGCCTCGAACTTCTCAGAGATAAACTTATAACTAAAATTCTGTACTACCCATCCCTTCACATTCCGTGTAACACTTATCAATTCAAAATTTTAAAAAGTTTTCCAATTTTACATTTTTGGATTTTTGATCAAACTTTCAAAATATCAGACTTCTAAATTTTTTATTGTTTTTTTAAATTTTGAAAATTTCACCAAATATTCAAAATTTTAAAATTATAAACTTCGTTTTAAAATTTAAAAGTTTAGATGTTTAAGCAAACTTTAAAAATACTAAACTGAACGTACAGATTTGATCATTTCGCTTTTTGAAAGTATGAATTTTATTATTTTTGATTAAAAATGTAAAAAAAAAAAAGCCTAAAACGTTAAATCTGTATCCCAATAGCGCTTGCCTGATTTTCCGCGGGATTTAAATACTTAACAGTTCAAGATGTCTGCATTAGAAGATCATGAAGATTCCATTCGAAATATGATCAAGCAGCAAGGATATACTTGTGCAGAAGTGTCCAGTACATTAAAGACCAGTTTAAATATATTAACAAAAGGTTTGTATTCAATTTATTTAAATATATATATATATATATATATATTGGACACAAAACGATTTCTTTATAGAACTGTACGTACATGCATATGTGACGTGGAGATGCAAACTTTTTTATTACTAATAAAAACCTTTGTGTAAGAAAGTTCCCATCTGAATTTGCGTTTTAAGATGTGTCTTAGAATATATAATGGGTTAGTTTCATTTACATTTACCCAGAAAAGTCTGACTGCCAAAGCAACCAATTGTTTAATGAATGAGTTTATTTCTATGAATATAACTAACTTTTTGACTAACGTCAGCCCAGAAACATACATTTTTATACCTGAAATAATTTCACTTTCGTAGTAACGCAATCTTTGATTTATATGTTTTAATGCGTTAGTAGGGAAGACAAGAAGTGAAAACGATATTTAAAGTTAAGACAAAGAATGAACAATTGTACTTTAATTGTTGTGAACATTGCCTCCGTACAATATCATGTACCATGTAAATATTATATAACAAGACTATTCACAACATGGCGGTCTTCACAAGAGCAAAATACGCAATTATCTTTCCCTCGAAAAGACAAGGCGAGACATGTATATATTTATCAACGTAACAAGTCGTTGGTGGCGTGAACAAGTTGGAGAAAACTGTATAACTCAAAGGTTAAATATCCCATGTTGCAAGGTTTCTCCCCGTCATATGTCGAATGTCCTTGACCTAAGTTTCATTGTAAACAAGATGTAAACTATGAATACATTGTAAGGTGTACATGTCAGCCAGACAGATGTCACCTGTCCTTGATCTCATTTTCACACTCTAGTGATAAAATGGACAGTTTCAATTACCAGACAGGCGAGAAATTTTAGCGTGTCTGCTCTTGTATAAGATATATAATTATGAATTTCATATTGAATACTTGTGTACGTTCTTTTATTTTTATAGGTTCAAGTCAGTGAAGCATATACAAATTCTGTCTAGACAAAAATATCCACAAATATGATTACGGGAGATTGTCGAAGTCGGAAATAAAAAACATAACTACGTCAGCTGTACAAATTACCGGGCCAACTTATGGACGAAAACTCGTGACTTGTTTTCTGAGATCGAACGGTTAAAGTCTTGGTGAAAGAAGTGTGAGAACTTCATTACTCGAGATTTCTCCATTTTATGTAGCACAGCGTAGAGCTGCCGTTGAAAGAAATACCAACCCATCTGCATATTATGCAGAGTTCGGCGGACATAAGTTACACATGGATCAAAATGAAAAACTTACAGAATTTGGAGTCACAGAGGTTTTGGCAAGCAATGGATTTAGAGGGAAAATTACCGCATTTGCTCTTATGCAATTCAAGAACAATCTCTTGATATATGATAATGTATACAAATCAACATGCTTGAAGTATTGTTTATTTGATCAAATACGAGTTGATTTCGGAAAAGAGTTTTATCTTTGTTTGTACCACCAGGAAAATGTAAAGCAATACAGGACAAATACTAAGAGACCAGAATATATTCAAACGATGTCTCGACAAAATCATGCCCCTGAAAGAAAATGGGTTGAAGTATATTCAAGAATCAATTATCCTTTAAAGTGTGTTTTGAGGAAAATGTCAGACGATTTTGAGATTGATACGAATGATCCAGTTACTAAGTTTTGTGTTTCAACACTAACAATGGCGTGTTTTAATATAGGCTTTCAACACTTGATTCCTTCGTTGAATGCACATTCAATACCAGGTAAAGGCATACCAGACAGATTGTTTGTATCAAATCTACACACACAAAGATTGCCATCTACAGTGGAAATCACTTCTAACCTCTCATTAGAACTGTCAGAATAATCTGTCATAGAACTGTTCTAAACTGTCCTAGAACAGTTCTACCTAGAACAGTTTTACCCTAGAACTGTTCTAAGTAAAACTGTCAGAATCAGTTCTAGGTAGAACTGACCAAATCAGTACTAGGTAGAACTGTCAGGATCAGTACTAGGGTAGAACTGTCTAAAACTGTTCTAGGTAGAACTGTCCAAATCAGTTCTAACCGTAGAACTGTCGGCAGAACTGACTAAATCAGTTCTAACCGTAGAACTGTCAGCAGAACTGTTTTAAACTGTTCTAGCCGTACAAAGTCTTTTTGTCGTTTTTTCGTATTTTGCCATGGCATTGTCAATATGTTTTCGACTTATGAGTTTGAATATTCCTTTGGTATCTTTTGCCTCTCTTTTGTATGAAAGCCATATAAACAGATTCAGTGTATTGGATTTAAACATTGAGCGGTCATGCAAAAAATAGGGGACATGGGAAGAGGGGGAGGGGGTCGACGTGCATTTCTGCTGTAAGAGTTGTTTAATAATTTGTTCACAAACTAACAGTATTGATTTTTTTACATTTAAGCGTCTCGATAGTCTCACGATCTAAATCTTTTTGCAAACATTATATAAGTCTGTACAGTTGACATTGAATTAATTATGCAACGCATTTAACAGATTTCTCATATTATGTCAGGATTATATCAATGTCATCCCGTTTAAAGGGGAAGACGATAATAGAAGTCAATAATAAAATCTTGAGGAAAGAAATATAAGGAATTAACAAATATTTTGCGACTTGGCAAAATATATAAATCTGAATTTACTGTACTTTACCTAGAGGAGATGCCCTATTACAATACCAATGGGCTTTTTATTTCACTTTGCAGTTTAAATTCATATTTTCATAACGTTCAACTGGGGTTGGGGAATTGAGTCTATTGGGTAGTGAAAAGTAAAATAACAAAAATACCGAACTCTAAGGAAAATTCAAAACGGAAAGTCCCTTAACAAATGGCAAAATCAAAAGCTCAAACACATCAAACGAATGGAAAACAACTATCATATTCCTCACTTGGTACAGGCATTTCCTTTCTGTGAGTACGTTGTATAACCTAGTGCATTGCAATGCTTGATTTAAAAAAATTCATGTGAAGTTTATTTATTAATTATCTGTTGATTATTTTACATAGAGAATAACGCACTGTCATTCCATATATAGGTACACTCTAGAATTAAGGACTTTGACTTGAATATGAACATCTTTAATGTAATTAGTTCTAAACGTTTTAGCGTCCCTGATGAAGGTTTATCCAGAAAAGCTTGTTGGACGCACGAACGTCATACAGCGTTATTTTCATTGTATTGGGATATACACAATTGTTTTATTATTCTGCTTTTTCAGCTGAGTATTGGGGTAAAACAGGAGAAGAATTGATCTCCCTCTTTTTTCTCTCTCTTTTTGAATGACCCGGAGAACCTGTATAAGTTACTAATGTTAATGATCTTTTGGAAATAATACTGCAAAATGCGAAGAAATGTTAATTTGTTATGTGAACATTTTTATAATATCACATGCAGATGACACGCTTATATTATCAGATTCAAAAGCTGAGCTACAGCATGCATTGTCAGTTTTTGAACAATATTGCAATATGTTGAAACTTACAGTTCATACAAATAAGACAAAATTGGTAGTTTTAGTAAAAAGAAATATTTGGTTAATTAAGATTTTAAAATTGATGGTGAAAAAATAGATGTCTTAGATTCATAATCTTATTTGTGTATTCTGTTTAACTATAATGGCACTTTTTGTTCAGTTAGAAAAAAAAAATGCTGGAAAAGAGAAGGGAATACCCTAAAAGGGTAATTCAAACTCAAAAGTCGAAAATAAACTGACAACGCCATGGCTAAACAAGAAAAAGACCAACAGACAAACAACAGTACCCAAAAACACAACATAGAAAATTAAAGACTGAGCAACACGAACCCCACCAAAAAAAGGAGGGGGGTGGGGACTCGGGTGCTCCGGATAGGTAAGCAGATCCTGCTCCACATGTGGCAACCGTCGTGTTGCTCATGTAAGTACATACCCGGTGATAAGTCTAATTCGGTAGGTCACATTCGGGGAAAAGGGAACGGGATTGTAGTTACGACAAATAAAGCATTGTTAGCTTCATACAGAAAAAATAGAAAAATTGCAATTCCAGTTGATATACAGATAAAATTATTTGATTCTCTTATATTACCTGTAATGATTTACTCTAGTGAAGATTTGAAAATAAACAGATATTAGAAAGGATTCACTTGCAGGTTTGCAATGATGCTCTTTCAAATGAAAATAAAATACCTAACGTTTTATTTAGACTAATGGTACAACTTCACCAAAGTAAACTTTCACATTTTAAATTGGTTGTATTCATTAAATCAATTCTTGCCGAATGTAGTCCTCCTACCTATAGATGGAATGATCAGATACATATTATAAGAGAATTATTGAAATCTCTTGTCAAACATAAACCTCTTGATCAACATATACAACACTGGTCTTCTGCAATTAAAAACTCCTCAAGAGGATAATTTTATGATACATTAATTTTAAAACTATGTTTCAATAAGAACACTATTTTTTAAGATTAGGTAATGCTGATAGATTATATATGACCAAATTTAGATGTGCAAATCTTAAATTCCCAACTGAAAAGGGAGAATGATGGAGATTTGAATGAAAGGTAGGATATTTCATCTTAAGTTTGTAAACAAGATACTGACAATTAATACCATTATCTGTTTGTTTGTTCACGCCCTATGATGTCACTTTAAAGGCAAGATTTCAAACCGTCTTACTACTTAAACTATCCTTCAAGACAAAAATTGATTGGTTTACTTTCATATTGTAACATACAGGTATATAAGAAAATATGCACTTTTCTATATTGTAATATACAGGTATATAAGAAAATATGTACTTTTCTTAGAAAAATTCATCAGTTGTTTTAAAATATAAAATATAAAATATTTACACATAATTATATATATTATATATAACTCATTCGGGTAAATAAAACATCTTGTACACACAAACATGTTCACATTTCGTGATTCAACATGGATAACAAAAGAAAAAGAATAAGACTTCAATGAATGAATGAAAAAAAAAGATTACAAATTTTAATGAAATAGTTCAATTAAGAGGTTGGTGACTACCAATGCTCTATCTTTTCTAATATTACTGCTAGACATGCTATTATAGAATTCCTGCTGAACCATAGACTTTAAATGCTTCATGTGGTCAAATACAAATACGATTATCAAGCATTTGTTATAGCAAAATTAATGAAATTAGGGAATTAGTTTCAGTTATAAAATTTGATCTGAAAGATATACCGATATAAGCTTAAATATATTGGTCTTTGTTCAGGATATCGTATCATCGTTAAAATGAAAGATGCAAGAGGATAAATTGAAAACTAACATGCAATTAACAAATGCCAATTTAAATGATATAATATTATAGGGATGGTTTCTTTGAAATTCAAATTCAAACATCGCAATATAATCAAGAATATTTCAGATTTAGCAAAAATCCCCTGTACTTTAACATATTATTTTCCATATTTTAAATAGTTGAATTTTAATGGAGTATGTTCGATAAGGCCCCAATATGGCCCCTATTTCTAGCACAGTTTTAAAAATGACTAGATAGGACATAGGTATTTTTGTTTGAAAATATACTAATCAGTGTTTTTTTATGTCGTCAAAATTAGCCAAATCTGTTAAATGTTCAACCAAAATGAAATGAAAACATGGAAATTTTAATTCGTTTTCGGGACCGTAAACAAATAGCGCTTGAGTCGACAAAATATATTAACATTACAAAAGTTATATCAAAAGAATATTGTGTCACAATCATCCCCAAAGACACATAACCATGTTATCATTGTCAACAAGTGTCATATTTAGGCATATGTTGTGGTGTATTACATAAATTAGATACAATGGGTGAGAGTTGCTTTGTCAAAATAGATACCATGAGCCAAGAGGCAAATGTTACTTTTACTAGGATCTTTAAAAAAAAGAAACAGAACACCAGTGGAACAATAAAAAGTCGACAAAATACCGACAATTCCATGGCAAAAAACGGAAAACGACGAAAAGACAAACAACAGTCTACAAAACGCTACACACAATATTAAATACAGAGAAACACGAACCCCACAAAAAACGGGGGGTTATCACTAAGAACCCTAAGGTCAATAGCTTCCGTGTAAGAAAAGTTCACAATATGATAGCTGAAATCATCTCTTTTGATGTAAACTTATTTTTTAAACCGATACTCATTGTCAATTTCTAGATGACAGTCAAGATATGAAGCACGCGAAACTGAATCTTAGGCATTCAATATTTCAAGTTCTATGGATCCGTTTAATATTTTACCAAGCTGTGAAATGTTAACAGTGATTAGATCATCTATATAACGGAACGTGAAGTTAAAGGAAAATGCTATTTTATGAAATTTTAAGTTTGCAAAAGTATATATTATTCTAAATAATAAGGATGTTCTTGTCCCAGGAAGAAAAACCTGGCCGTGTTAGGCGCATCTTTTTGGAAGTTTTGGTCCTCGGTGCTCTTCAGCTTTGTACTTGTTTTGGCTTTCAAACTTTTTTCATCTGAGCGTCACTGGTAAGTCTTGTGTGGACGAGACGCACGTCTCGCGTATTAAATTCTAAACCTAGTACCTTTTGTTAGCTATTATTCGTGTGTTTCTTTGTCCTATATGTTCTCCCATTTATTTGTATTGTAGTCATGTCATGTAATGTTGTCATTTTAATGTTATATTTAACATTGACATAAAAGCGGGAGGTTTGGCATGCCACAAAACCAGGTTCAACCCACCATTTTTTTCTTAAAATGTCCTGTACCAAGTCAGGAAAATGGCCATTGTTATATTATAGTTCGTTTCTGTGTGTGTTACATTTTAATGTTGTGTTTTTGTTGTGTCGTTGTTCTCCTCTTATATTTGATGCGTTTCCCTCAGTTTTAGTTTGTAACCCGGATTTGTTTTTATCTCTATCGATTTATGAGTTTCGAACAGCGGTATACTACTGTTGCCTTTATCTAGCTTCTTTTCATTTTCTTGATAATTTCCTGTATGAAGTCTAACTGAACAAGTCTGCAAGAAGAGGAGGACAGTTGGTTCACATAGGAATGTTGATTGTCTGTTGAAAAACACGTCATCCAAACGTATCAAATATGTTGTCAATAAAACAATTTAGCATCTTGATGATGTCAGTTTCAGAGAAACAACCTACTCTACGGATGGCGTGAATCAAATGTGGATACAGGAACAATCCAAAGTGGGCATCTCGGTTTCTTTGCTCTTGAAATAGTATAAAATATTTGACTTATCTACCATATACACTGGTAGTTCTTATTCTAAACGCAAAGACAGATTGAAGGAATTAGTTAAACTTTGTTTCATAGACAGAATGGCCAACGTTAATACACATATTTTGTTTAAGGAAGGTATAAATCATCTTTTGTAAAAAATAAACCGCTCTGATTCAATGTATGAAATACAAAGCACTATTTTACCTGAAATGATAAAAAAATGGAATCTTTATATAACACACAATGATTATATTGATGAATATAAATCTGACATTTTAATTTCAACCAATAGTCCATTTTCCAGTTACCGACTTCGATTCCAATGTTAGTTTCATTTTCAAAGAAACATCTGCTACGTAGGACAAACTGTATCACTACCACTACAAAGCAATTGGGATGAAAATGCTTTATTGTGCCGATTATGACATTAATTTAGACGTTGTAAGTGCATTACACATTCATAGTGAAAATGAGATTGCATAACAGATGATTACGCAATGAAAAATTTATAAATAAAAAATCAAAACATACTCTTTCCATTAGGTATGTATAGGATGGGATATTGTTTAATCTACATCCTAGATTGTGTACGGTATTTGTCAAACTTCACAGACTTTGAGCAAGGGGTTCGATACCTAGTGACGGCAAATATAAATTGCCAAAAAAAGGTGTTTCAACTTATCAATTTGTGAACAGAAATTAGTAAATAAGTCAATTCTAACTAAATAACACTGGGTGCAGAAGGAGAACAATCGAATATGATTTTGTGACTATTTCAGCAACCGATTCAAGAAGCCTAGAAATAGAAACCATGGCTACTTAATAGACCTACGTAACAGCAACAGTTTGAATCAAAGAAAGGGAAAAATTGAACAGCTGTAAGAGTTGCAGTATCAAGACATGTATGAAGAGAATGTTTTTTGCCTAGTACTCGGCTCGAAACAAAGCCTCGCATTATACCTGTTTCTAAGCCTTGTACAAATAGTTTTATAGGTTACAATAAACCATTATATTTTATGGCGCTGCCATTTTATGAAGATATGGTATTCAGAATAAAGAGTATGGCTAATCCTGATTGGTTGTCGTGTGCAGCCGATATTTTTTTTATCACAAGATACTTCGTGCACTCTGCATTATACCAAAGGCAAACTAATATATTTTGCTTAGCTCTGAAGACCTGAGAAGTCTTTTTACGCTGTGACGAGACAAGTATTTTTAATTGCAGAATTGATAGGCAAGGGAGATAAGTACAAATTGCGTCAAAAAAGCAACGGGAATCTATATTTCTTTGACTTAAAAATACTGTCCAAATAATTTTTCTTTAATTCTAGCAAGTTTTCGTTCTAAAAATCGACTTTCTAAAGTCAGTATCTCAAAAAGGCTACCTTTGTCGCCTATGGAGAAATCAACTGTGGTTTGCAATCTTTAATTTTGAGACAATGTATAGTTATTTTGTATATATGAAAGATTATAAAGGAAAAGACACACCTTTAATTAACTCTAAAAAATCATGTGTAAACCAATACTGTAATAGATATATAATTTGAATGGAGAAAATAAATATGACGAGTTTTATTAATTTCTTTTATTCACTCATAATTTTACTATGTCAGTTAACGTACAAAAAACAAGAAACATATGTTCTAAGGAAAACTAAGAACGAAAAGTGAATTAAAACCTGTAATAAAGTAATTACAATAGAAGGTACCACAAGGAAATTAAGATATAAAAATCAAATAAATCATATTAAACAGTGTTTTTATCGCCTTCATCTCATTGTTTAGCCATTAATTGAATTCTTTATTTATGAAATGAGTTTTACTATCATTTTCCAAGAGTAATTCTGAAACATTTTTTCAATGTCGACCTTTAATATTTGCGTTTCGAATTCTAATAAAGGTAAAATCTTTCAATAAGGTGTTATAAGCAAACACATAATTCAGGCTATGGGAAAACAATTGTCACGACAACAATCGTAGGCAAACATTAACTTAAAATATGTTCACAAAAAGGCTAGGTATGGTATCGATAACTTTTCCATCTTTTAGAAATAAAATGATATAAAACAAAGCATTATTCAATATGAAATATTAACTGATTTAATACGAAACTAAATATTCCATTAATTGCCTACATTTCTTTCGCATTTATCAAATTATAGAAAAAAGCTGGTGAAGCGAAAGGAAGAACTAGTAGAAATTCAGTGTATTTTTAGATTTATTATGTGTGAGCGCGTTTGTCACTCCTCCAATATTATTAAATTATTCATTTATATCAGGAACGCAATATCAGATAGAAAAATATCAGAGAACAGAGGACTACTAAATATCGCGCGAGAATCTTTTGACGTTACAGACAGGAATGACAACCTAATTGCAGGTATCCCCCACACATGAGGATAGTAATGAACCAAGCATTCATTATAAAAACATCCAGCTAATGAAGATGTGGACTTACGTTTTTAGCAGGTAAATACTAAATTTTTCAAGTTTGAAATATTGTTTTTTTTTAAATTTTTTTACTACTATAAAGTATTTTTTTTTATAAGAGATCAGCAAGTCATTGTTAATAAACTCAATTTAATATTTATATAAATCATAATGTAATATTCAGTTATTTATTAAATTATTTTTACCAATTTTAACTTGTTTTACAAATATACTTAAAGATTTTCACACACTGAATATTAACTGCTTTCAAAGGGATTTTGTAAGTGAGCATAAGTACGAGTATCTTTGGCCATAAACATTTATTTATAAAACTGTCTAAGGAATTACATATGGATTTTTGAAATGATATCTTTAATGGATGTTTATTTCATATATAATCTTTTGTTATTTGATATGTAACATCATAACATCGTCAGATAAAAATAATCGTAGACTGTTCCATTATCGCCCGAAAACAATAATTTAAGGACGCCATTGAAAGTTAATTTAAAGTGCATTTGCCAACTTTAATAGAAATTCATTAGATAAATTGAAGTTTTTGTTTCCGTTTTCAGAAGAAAGGGTGCAATGTTTTTCTTGGTTTGCCTTTACCTATTCCATACAAGTAAGTATGATTTATTTATCTCTCTATATAAAAGAAAAACTGTCATAGGACTATGAATGATGCAAGCCCATTTTGTAATCCTTTTCTGAAGATTCTTATATTATTTTTAGTTAATTTGTATGGTCTTTTAATAAATAATAGTCTAAAGTCGAGTGGTAAAGTGGTATTTATTTGCGACCCGTCCTTATTAATACTATGTGTCTAAAAATCATCCTAATGTTGCTAAAGAAAACACCGAATTTAAAGACAAAAATCGGAATGTTTCATAAAACAAAGTATGATAATGCCATACATCAATCATCTCGTTAGCGCTTATCGTAGAAGCATCATCGACATTTAAGAAAAGTCTCAAATTTCAAATTTAACTTTGTTCACATGTATATATATGCGGACATGGAAAGTTAATGTTGACAGTAATATGATATAAACAAAAAATTGTTTCTAATTTCTTCAAGTATGAGACTGTCTTAAAACCATATATCCTTGCAACGATAAAAGGGCCACAATTATCCTTAGTTGTGTCATTATACACAAATCATAAGACAATATCAAAACTCTTGTGCCTTCAAATCAACTTTTGCGTGTCGCTAAATCTTGAAGCCATTGTAAAAAATGTACTAACTTAAACACTGAAATTAAGAATGCGACAGTACATGTTAATATTTTTGCTGGTCATTACAGAAAAAAAAATGAATTCTATAAATAGAAATCAATTGAAGATATTTTCCTTTCCTAAGGAAACTGTACTATATTCTCTGATTTTATGAAAAATATTTTGATTTCAAACTTTTGAATAAAATAAAAAAATAGCTGACATTTAATTGAACTCGATTTAAGATAAATATAGTAATATAGAAGGCTGATTTCAATAAATGACTTTGCTTTTTAGATGATTACCTCTCGATCTTTTATAAGAACACATCAAAGCAATGAGTTATGAAACCGTAATAATTTTAAAGATGAAAAGACATTTGTAAATTAACGTTAAATCTTTTGAATAGCTGCTTACGACCAACCGTAAGCATAGTAAGAGAGCATTATGAATAAAATGGAGATATACAGGAAATACAGAAATATTAGTATTTTTACAGTGATATTTGTAACTTCTTGATAAATTTGCCATAGCATTTAAGCTAATTAGCAAGTTCATAAACACTGGACACTTGAACATTTTTATCAATACTGTATGCCTGTTGAACACAAAATCAGGCAACTCAAAGTCAGAAATACAAGGAAATTGGTTTCAGAATGAAATTTATAATGAAAAAAACCTTCAAAAAATCAACAATAGACATAAACTTGTGTAACATTTTAATCTCTTAATCGACCCGAGTATATAAAAGCGGTGAATAAAATCACATACTATTGATGGAAATGTAACACAAAATTGGTATAAATTAACGTTTCATTTTCTCAGGTTTAATGGACTTTCCCCATATTTGAAATTACCTTGGAGTTCGGTAATTTTGTAAACACTTTTTTTCCCTAAAAGACAAAACTTGAAGACAACCAGTAACGAGTTACCTGATTTTGTAGACTGGTACCTGTCCGTTATTTGTGGAAGAGGCACATGAAGATGTGACGGGGTTTAAATAGTTTTCCCGAGAACCAGCCAGTTCAGAGAAAACTCTAAATTTTATAATACTGGTATGAAAATGAAGTAACGATGACTGTGATTAACACCTTTGTCAATTTATCACGAGGGTCATATTATTTTTTTTGAAATCACATGGTCTATATATATTTACTTCGTCTCAGATATTTAGCCCAGCAATGTAAGTTCTGCAAATTTGTGTTAGCAAATTTTTGTTCTTCCCTCAGTGGGATTCAAACTCCTGCATCTGTTACATCGTGGCAACACCGCCTGCACTGTGTCCAGCGCCCTAGACCACTCGACCAACTAGGCTATATAAAATATAGCTTTCGTTAGTCGAGTAATGCCTTTCCTCGTCGGCTTTATCTAAGGTTGTAACAAAGTACATGATGACTCATACCCAGTACGGAAAGACATGTCTGAAAGTATAGAGGGCCGTATTAAACAAATACGTACATAAGGAACCATGTACATAAATGAATGTTTTTACTGTGTCAAAAAGATTATAAATAGAAATATAGTACTAACTAAATAGGACTGTTAAACATTTGATTGTACCGAGTTGAAACTTCACTCGTAGATTTAATACAAATTGAATCACTTCCAATCATTTTATATATTAATGTTATTAAGGTTTTAATGTAAATGGCTTTGTCTTTCTAGTAATACATGTTTTTTTCTGCAGTTATTCACCAATTTTTTTTTTTTTGCTTTGTTTTGATAAGAAGAATTTAGTTACTTTGAGTCATGCTTCTATTTTAACGTCACAAAAGGAGCTTATATCATACGAGAAGTATATATCAAACTATCTGAAGAAATGCTTAAAATAGAAAGACACACATTTATTAACTCAGCAAAAAGGAAGATTATACAGGTTTCTCAAATTCAATCCCTAAACTGTATAAATTGAATAAGATCAATGTATTGCAAAACCGAGTATGGAATCTTTTATCGGTATAAGCTCTCAATTGAATATGATGCTGTTAAGCGATAAAACATTGTATTGCCAACAAAGGAATACATTTTGTGCAATAATGTTGCTAATGTGGTAGAATAAAGCTTCTTCACCCTTGCATATGGAGTCAGTATCATCTACTTTGTACTTAATAAATATGAAATGACGGTCACAACATGTAGATTAATGTCTTTTCAATGCTGACATTTGTATAAATCACGTAAAACCTACTATGAGATGAAGTATATAATCATTCTCTTAAATTTATTCTACCAACCACACACATATTAGTAGTCATTGAGACGATGTGTCCGTTAGGTTGTCCATTTGTTATTTGCATAATGTCTTTGTACGTTGACCATAAGTTAATCACATTCATAAATACATATTAGACACAATATTAGCCATTTGTCACAGTCATTGTATTCGCAAATTCCACAAAGTACATACCAAAGGTTATAATTTTAGGTTGGAAGTCTGATTGAAATTATACTGATCGTTTTTCTTATGAGTAATTAAAGCTAAAAATTCAGACGTAGTGATTTGGTGATTTATAACGATATACAAATAAGTTCTCAACTGAGGTTGAAAGTCCTTTTCAGTTGCCATTTAAGAGCGCTATTTGCAATGCTCTATAATTGTGCAACATATCGTAGTAAAAATCTTTAGTATTTTCTGCCTACTAAAATAATATTTAATATGCAACTAGTAAAGACTGAAATTTCAACACGAATTAGACGATTAAGTTATGTTAGCCATCGGTCACAAATGAACATTCTTTTCGATATTCTCGATAAAATTCCGAAATTAAACCAGTGTGTTACAGACAGAATTTGGTATTGATAAACAAAATTGTATTCCCATTTGTCAATATAACACCACAAACTGCGTGTTGAAATATATTTACCCAAGCTTAGGAACTGTACGTTTTCATTCATACTCTTCGCGTACAGCACGTTGGCATTTTTATGTTGCTTTCCTTTTAGACTTATCCATTCTGTCATTTAAACCTTATAACATATACAAGTACCTAACATTTCATTTGAATTTCTCCTGTAAGACTGTTCCTGGTTAGACGCAGTCTTGTCAAGTCAGAGTTCACGAATCAATTTTTTCGTGCTAAAAGGGCACTGAATTTATTGTAAGCTGGAAAATATTAAAACAACAATATTCTTAATGAGTTCTTGGGTTCTTTCATTCTCATGAGTATATACCTTATCGCCATTTTAGAATCTCCGATACTTGACCTGAGAATTTGCGACACTTTAACTATTGACATCATACAACAATCACTTTTCGTTTGTGGCGTCAGACATTTCCTATTGTGACGTAAACATTTTACGGAAATCTTTGTGATGTCTAGTAATGGCGGACAAATAGCGATAAGGTGTATTGTATTATTTTTAATACCATTGGTCGATGTCACGACTGGAGGATAATTTGTCCCCGAGGATATTATACCCACAGTAACCTACATCTACAGTAAGTTAGACAGACAGACAGACAAGAATTCAGACAGACAAGAATTCAGGCAGAATGTCCCCCTGTATAAAAGGGTTCACACATGACGTTAACAAAGACACAGAGTAGTTTGAGAGGCATTACTTTCTGTTTTCGAAAAAAAAAAACAATTTGGATATTTCGAAGTCAAACCATTATTCAAACGACAATAACGCAAATGTTCATACGCAACCGTGTTCTGGCTGTCAAAGCCGTTGGGATTATGTACTTTCAACCAGCAGTGTCGGTCAGATGTAGATTGTGAAAAAATAAAGATCTGCTCAAAGGTCTTCCATTAAGTCATTACAATTTTGCTACAATATAAAAATAATCTTATTTTTTGGGAAAACCTATTTCCTATCATACTATTTTTGGGCGAGTCTGAATTCGCATAGTGCGTCTTGCATGCATAACAGGTCACATGTATTCCATTTGCGCACTGGATGTTGCTCAGTTTTGAGTTCATGCAAATTCCTCGGTCTTTTTTCTATGTTCATGTTTTCAAAATGGATTTGTGAGTTTTGAACATTGGTAAACTACTGCTCCCTCTAATTCACGTTGAACTTCATGATGATTTTGTCTTAAATGATTTTCAACAGCAACCAATCATTTAAGGTAAATCTGTTTAAAACGTGAGAAGAGAATAAGGAGGTAATCAAACAAAAGCAGGAGAGAGAAAAAAAAAGACATCACAATGACAATAAGAAAACGGAGAATAAAAAGAAATGAAATAAAACAACAGTTAATATAACCTTATAGAAATATACAAATTGAATAAATAAAACCCCATTTAACCCGTAGGGTTAGGTCAATTGTTCATTAAAAGTAGATAGATTCAGCCCCGCTAGTGTTAACATTAAACGGTATTAATTTTACTACACCAGATGCACATTTCGAAAAGTGATTTTATAATCGGTGCTCAAGGTTAAAATGTTTGAAAAATCAAAACCA